CGCCCCTGGGCCGGGCCCGGCCGACTCCAGGAAACGTGCAGCAACACAAGCCTGGTCTCTTGAGCCCTCTGGGCTGTGGCTCTCATAGTGGACTCCACTGTGCTTTCCCATGAGCGGAAAAGGCGTTTTTTTTCTCTTTTATGTGAGATGAAATACGGTTTTCTGTTGGTGCTTGAAGTGGTTTGTCTTAGAAATCACGTGGCCTCTATTCGTTTAAATTGTCTTTTTAGGTTGAGCGTGCCTGAAAGTACACCTTTCACAGCTGTCTTGAAGTTTGCTGCAGAAGAAGTAAGTAGATAACAGTGATGTTTTTTAACGCTTTCAAGTATTTCTAAAACAAGAGACTCTTTTACTTAAAAATGCAATGCAAAATATGCTGTTGTGCTGTTGTTAACTATACGTGGACATGAGCGTTATCGATAGCTTTGTGGACCTGCCACATCTTTTACAATCCAAAGTTTGGCAGTTCATACACAGTTTGCATGTGTTAACAGCGATGTAGACAGACTTCCGGTTTCTGTTTGTAATTAAATTAAACAATTTTAAAGTAGTAGCACAAAAATTTGTGGCAGTGAACATAAGTAAAGCACTTACTTTTACTGAATGTTTAATATTTCAAGTAACTTTTGTAGAATATTTAGAGTATTCCTAAAAATTATTCAGAAAATTTTTCACTTCTTCTCACATACAGTTCTAGTGTCCCTGATTGTGGAAGGTATATAATTTCTGATTATAGCAGGCATTAGGATTAGGAACTTGAGCTGGGTTCAAAACAGAACTTAGAAAATCCGTACTTACTTGCCTATTGTTAGCTTTTGTGTGTTTGATCTTTCACATGGAATCCAAAAATAGGTCCCTAAATTGCTTGTAAAATATGTTTGAAGAAGCATACCCTTTTTGTTTCAGGTTGCATGTACAAATGTTAAGAGATGTTCACGTGGGGGTAAATCATAAAAATTGGTCAAAAGCACGTTTGTTTTTATTGCCTCGTTAGCAACAAATTTTAACTGAGAATTTGTTATTGCAATCTTTTTTTTTAAGATAAATCTGTGAAATTTTGAGAAGTTTAAAATCTTAATTTGTCAAGGCAGTTAAAATGTAGTAAATAGTAAATAATTAGAAAGTTAATGGGTAAAATATTTTGAGTTTCCACCAGCTGATGAAAACTGTTAGAGTTATAGCAGTATGTAACAGAAGTTTTTATTTTAGGCGGAAGCTGTAGGTTGATTAGCTGTTGCAACTTTCCTTGTAGAGAATAATATGTACCCTTAAAAGACATTTGCTGCTTTAGTTGCCTTTTTTTATTGTGGGTTTTGACAATACTAGTTTTTATGATCTGAACTAATGTTACTGTGCCCCAAAACCTGTATGTAGAGACTTAGACCGAAGAGTCCAGTAAAACTCAAGTTTGTTTCCAGTACAATTAGAGGTTGCTTCCAAAAGGGGCAGACCTATTCCCTTTCCATTCACTAACAGATTTTTGTCACTTCCTGCATGCCAGATATGTCTGATGGAGTTACACATCAAGTTGTTCAAACAGGCTCATTAAAGAAAGGATCTTTTCTGAAGTTTCTCCATTGTATTAGTCATTTGAATTTACTTAATTCTCTATGTGAGACTGACTTCAATACCATAGTCTGCAAGCAGCTTAAGCTGCTGTAAGGTGTCATATCTTCCAAAAGCAACCCTGGCTCTTGTTTTTTTCTGTTCTGTCACCTCTTTGAACATGCTAGCACAAGAATGCCTACTGCCACATAGAGACCCAGTTTGGAGAAACAGTTTGAGTTAAAACTCTTTTTTGCTGGATTAATCTTTACATACCTTTTTTTTCCCCTCTCATCTTGATTCATGCTTTAGATGCCAGATGTTAATCGGTGATATGAGGGAGCAAGGGAGACTGGGGTGGGACTGAGTAGCTAGAGATACTGGAAGGGAGGGGATGCTTCTCCCAGTGGGGGAGTTACCATCAAACCTGTTAACGTCATCTGCTTACCACTGACTGTAATGTTACAGTTTTATATGGTTCTGTGTGAAATGGATTTAGAGAGGGATTATTTAAACATTCACATTTAACAAAACATTCCTTTAGCTGTTGAATATTTTGAGCGTCCATGGGAGTTTTTCTAATTGACCCCAGAGGACTGTGGATCATCCCCTTTTTACAGAATAATTGTAGATATTTTTTAGATGCTTGGAACAAAAATGGAAAATACATGCTAGAATGGAAGAGAGCCCGTTATTGTTAGTTAGCTCACTTGTGTAATTTCATTAAGTGCATATAGAATCATTTTTTTTAAAGAAAATTACACAAAAGCCTCATTTTTTTTGCCTAAAACAGTGTTCAAGCACATGGGCTTTTGTATCAGCTTGTGTTATCGCTAAATAAAAATTAGTAAAGTAAACATATTTTGAAAAAATATGCATTGTATGTTAGTTTTAGATGTCATTGCTGATGTGTTACTGAAGATTTTTACATCTCTGTGAGACCAGGCAGGTGCTGCATGCTCATTTTGTAATCCATTAGTGATCTCAGAGCTTTTTCCTTCTATTTACACTTTGTAAATAGAAGAGGAAAAAATCATCTTAGCCTCATTCTTGGGGAAGAGTGTACTTTATCCAATTTTTAATTCAAACCCTTTATTTTCTCTGAATCTGGTGCTGAAAAGAAAAGAGAAAGAATTTATCTTTTTACGTGTTTCACATTTCTTGAACTGAACATGTTGACATTAACTTATCGTATCACATTAGGATCCAGATAAGTTTCACAGCATCTTATACAAAATATATAAGGAAAAGTTGAAACTGTAGCCTGGATTTGGAGTAAAGATATTTGTTGCTCTTCAGGCAAAGTATCCTGAGTGTCTCGAGCTCTTGAGGCAAAGTAGGACTTGATCTTGGGAGCTTTTGGCTGTTTAGCCTTGTCACATTTCTACAGATTTCTTTTTCAGAGTCTTACAGTTTGTCCAAATTTCAGAGTCTTATAGTATGTCCGAATCAGAATTTTTCTCGAACAGTAGAACTATAGCCATGATGTAGAATGTTCATACTATATTTCACGGGTCAGTCACAGTGGTTTGGATGGTTACAGTTTTTTCCAAGAAAAGTTTTCTGAATTATTTTCATTGAGCAAAACAATATGTATTCTTTTAGTCTTTGCTTGGAAACGCATGAAAAGCATTACACAGATCTTTCTGTCATCTCCAGCTTGTCACATAACATATGAAAGTTCAATGTACACAACTGAAAGTTGGCACAGTTGGAAATGAAAGAAAGCTGAATTATGTATGGGAAGCTCTCACAAAGTTTTGTAGTTTGCAGCAGTCTCAGCCCTTCCCAACAAACACATTTGGCTGTGATAGTTTGTATAATGCAAATTTAACTCTTTCTTTGAGTTCTTTTTATTCCATGTGTGTCTTATAGAGTATATAAAAGCATACATTGAAATTGAGAGTATAGGGAGCACTGTTCAGTTTGCGTCCGTTTATAGATTTTTTTCACAATTGTCACAGTATATTGTGGCAGAGTTAGTGTTTTCATTTGGAATTTGTGATACCTATTGGTGTTTTTTTCTTTACCTGTTAGTTATTTAGTGCATATTCCCAGAGTATATATTTGTGCAGTACTTAATTCCACAAATGTGAGAGGGGTTTTTATTACTGAAGTTGTCATCCGTTTCCAGTAAATAAAGTTACATTTTATCCTAATATTATTGCTGATAGATTTGTGCTAAAATACTGTGTTTTAATGCACTTATCTGTTTTTATTACTCCAAAAGGAGATTCATTTATTACCGTAGGCGATCTTCAATCTTTTTAAAAAGTAATTGTTGGTGTAAGATTGTCGTCTTATAATTTGATTGCAGATGTTAACAAATGTATTTCCTAGCCCTGCAGAAAGTTGTGCAGTAGCCTGAGTTAATGATTCGTAAGCCTTTTAAAGCAGACATAAGCTGTTCAAAAATGTGTGAGTTTGAGGTAGGAGGAGGGGTTTGTTACCCATCCTGGTTTCAGAGCAAGCCAGGGATTATAAACTGAATATGGTATTTCTTTGCCGCTTGAGTATCCATTTAACTTGCTGTCATAAAAAGCTTGTGTATTTTCAGCATTGGAAATGTATGCTTAGCAAGCACAGGAAGGATTTTCTGTTTAAAGTCGAATAAAATATTAGGCATGTAATAGTAAATCATATTGCACCCAAATTATGTGTAATTATTTCCAGTGGTAGTTTCCATTTGTATATTATGATGTTTCTCACTGTGCTGAATATGTAGCAGAAACTGAATGTAGTAGATGCTATTGCTGTTTGGCCCAGTATTTTGGACTAACATAAGAGTGTTTCATCCTCTTCTAATACAGTATCATATGACACAATAAGAGAATCTTACCTACTGGATCGTTGACTATTTTCCTGGATGATTGCCATGCAGTTCTCATGTGAACTTAGTGTGACTGCATCAGATGTGTTCTCCTAAAAAGCAGAATGGCACAAAATGAGTGCGAATGTCCCTCCTTCTGCTGTGAATGATCCGTCCTTTTCATGCATTGTCCTATATCCAAAGAGATGGAGAAGAAATGAACAGGAGCTCTCAGCGTTCCAGAAATGAGTTATATTTTTTGTCAGATGATGTAGGATGAAAGATAGATGGTATCACCTATTTACATTAGAAACCTGTTTATTGAAAAAAAAAATAACTGAAGTATTAAATTAATCAGATGTTTGCTAGTGTGTGGGGTTTTATGTGTGTGTGTGTGTGTGTTTTTTCCTTTGCTTTTTGAACTGGAGATGAACTCATTCCAGGAAACAGAATTTAATATGATTGACATTAATAATACCTCAGTGTTCAAACCTTATAAACTTATTTTCTTCTATTATGTAAGAAAATCTATTAAAGAATGTTACTAAGATTACTAAATCAAGAATCCCAAAGTTAGTGATCTTCAGATTGAAGGCTTTATCTTTCTTCGGTGTATGATATGTACACATTAGGTATTATGAGGTAACGTGTTATTTTGTATGATCTTACTGTTAAATATGTAGCCCCTGTTTTATCAAGGTCACTATTCAGATCTTACTCTGAAAACAAATTTTTCTACTTTCTTCATAGACTTTTCTACAATGACACTGGTAACTAATTTGTGATTATCTTTTTGCCAATATTAATGTTTTCATGCTACCTTGCAAGATGAGAGAGTGACATTATTTACCTGCTATGAAAAAAAGCTAAGAGAGATTAAGTGAAAACTTTTCTGCTAATTCTGTGTGTCTAATCAGAGATTAAAAAACGAACAAACAAAAACTTGTTTTCCAGTATGCTAAGAATTAAATACTGTATTCAAGCACAGTTTCCATGAGTTTTAGGTATTGTTAGTGCAAAGAGTTTCTGCAGGTCAGACCTCAATCTTGAGTTGAGCAATTGGAAAATGAGGAAAGCAGTTAATGACTGTCATTGAAAAGTATGGCTTAAGTGATGTGCTTAGCAGATGGGAGGACTCTGCACATCTTCCTGGGAAACATTCAGTGATTCCTTAGGTAACTCCTTTTTCTTATGCAACATAGGAAGATGCACAGATACTTGCTGATTGCTGAGACACTAGTCTCTTACCTTAGAGGTTTTACATTGGGCTGAGTAAAAGAAGGCGAAGGAGGACCTCTGGTCCTCAGATCAAGTAGCACTGATTAACCTGCACCCACACTGTTTACCCCTTTTATCCTGACTGGTCCTATCCATGGTACAAAGTGCAGTATTTTTCTCTGGGCTCACTCTGGCTCCCTCTAGTACTAAAACATAATTAGTTTTTGCTTCCTCATCCCAATTCAAGTCTTCTGAAATAGCTTGAAGCCTGTGTGCAATGTAGTCCCATCTGAGTAGGGCTCACCCTGAAACTTGCTGCATGTGATGCATATGAGGAGAGGGGTAGCATGAAGACACATGATGGTAGTTGAGGGTACAAAGTCTGCCTAGGCTGGTGTTAGAAACCTGAGGAGGGAGCTGAATGGGATGTAGTCCTATTAGTGCTTCCTCTGCCTCTCCAGCAAATCCTGGAGTGAACTCTTCCCCATAACTTTGGCTGGAATTTGTTTTGGAAAGATGCAGTTGGAGAGATCCAAACAGAGCCAGGGAGAAGACCAGGAAATTGGTTGAAATTATCCAAGATTAGCTCAAGCTAATTCTAGTTTAACTCCCCTCTGTCCATAGTCAAGGCAACAGGAAGCTTTCATTCTGATGATCTTTGTGATGGCAATAGCTGCTGCTGTGTATTCACAGAATTGATTTTGTATGATGAGAGGTGTTCTCCCGATGCAGATTCTGGTTTTACATCAGAAACATTCCACCACCCCCCAAACATGTAACGTCCTTACACTAACTTTTGTTTTTGTAAACGCTTACATGTTTCTAGAGCATTCAAGTATGAAGTCTCTATGCATATAAATATATAAAATGTGTTTTAGGTATAAGATTTTATGTTGCTCAGTTTTATTCCAGGAGATTTTAGCATCTGCCTTCTTGGCCTTTTCTCTTTCTTAAGTATTACTTGTTCACAGTGTTTGACATAACAGGTATACTTTCTATAAGTTAATTTTTATTTTTTAGTTGCTCCTTTGTATATGGTATAATCAAAGCTAATATTTCTTAACTTGGCAATGACTTATCTTTATATTTTGTCTAATGAATAAAAATAGTTGGATTTTTTTTTTTTACCCAAACCAGCTAGAATTACAATTAAGTTGAATATTCCCCATATACTTTCAAGTTGAATTATCCATCTCTTATGTTATTTTGTCCTACTCTTATTTCCTTTAGTTCAAAGTTCCTGCAGCTACAAGTGCCATTATAACAAATGGTAAGAATAGAATTTTTGTGTTGTACTTTCACTTAAGAGATATTGATAAAAGCAGAAACATCTTCTCTTTCACAAAGTCTACAGAGTGCAAACTGAACTTAATGCAGTACTGCTTTTACTGCTTGTGCAAGAGATTAAACCACTAATACTATTAATCTGAGTGATTTTGTCCTAGCATATAACCTGGGTTGTCTGCGCTGAAGTTCTCTTGTCAGCACCTTCCATGAGACTAGTTTCCATTATAGGATATAGCTGCTCAAAGGACTGATGTAATATTTATATAGGTTATTGTTCAGCATGTTGTATTTTTGAGCTGTCAGTTTGGTATAGCGAACTGTCCTGATGTTTGTTTTTCATCTCCCTTTTATTTCTTCCCTTCCCCTCACCAATAAAAAAATTTACCTTTTTTCTAGATGGAATAGGAATAAACCCTGCACAGACAGCAGGTAAGTTATTATTTATGGAGACTAATATTAAAAAGCTCAATTATTTTTCTTTAGAATTAGTGCATGTCAGTCGAGATTGTTGTATATTTTAAGTTTTGATTTCTCAAATGGGGAAGTATTAACCGGTATTTGGAAACTATAGTCAATGTAGTGTATAATATGTTAATTCCATATAATTGTTGTTCATTATTTGCTTATTTAAATCTCTGAAAGAATAAGGCATTTGTGATCTTCAAAACTTAGTTATTTAGTGCAATTTGAAAATAGCAATACTATATTACTTGTTACTAGAATAGCGAGTACTAACCATATTCTTTTTTTTTTTCCCCTCTGTACCTAGTCCCACAGTATTTGGTACTTCAGCAGTCCTGAACAGATGCATTTAGAAAATAATACACCGTTTTAGTGCAGGAAATATGGGTAGCATGTTTTCAAAAAAAGAGGAGTGTTCTTGTGTGTGGGCCTTGTTCTCATCAAGAAGTTTCTTGATGAGGAATCTGTGACTTATATGTGGAGGCTTGCCATGACCCAAGAGGCTGCTTCTGTCACAGAGAAGTATAAAACCTTTGCCCATCACCTCCTGGAATGTGTGGATCAGACTTTGAATGATAGTAATAGTAGTCTGCAGTCCAGAAACGGTCTTCTGTGCACCAGACTTTTTTTTTTTAAAGTTATACTTCAAATTCATTTGGAAATTATTACGCTAATCTAATCACGAACCACTTGAGACATGAGTTATGGTAGGATGGGATATCTTGTTGGGGGGAAAAAATGGTCATAACTTTCTACAAAGACTTAATAAACATGGCTTTGGTGCTTCTCAAACACAGTAATCCAAAGAAAACTTAATATTCCTGCTTGCAGATGTGATCAACAGTCAATAGAGATTTTCTTGCCACCTCTCTGTTCTTTGCGTGGAGTCTGCCAGGTCTCATTCCTTTGTGCCCTATATGTCTGCCAGACATTACCTATTTTTCTGGATCTAAAGAGAAAATCAGAAAGTGAGGTGTTATCAGCATACTTAGCAACGTAAGGTAAATAGTATAAAGTAAAACCCTGTACAGCATATAAGAGAATCTGATAGTTAGAAGAGCAGTTGCTTGACATTAGCTTTGGGAAGTTCTTGAAGATGTAAAAGGATGCACTTAAGTGAAGTGACCTAATTTTGAGGTCTGTGGTTCCATCCACAGCATCTGAAAATCAACATCAAGCGAGCTTTTGCCCTTTTGCTCCACAGAGGTTTCTGTCCTCCTGGAGCTCGCCTTAGGGACAACTGCTTTACGGTTTGTCAGGTGTACCAGCCCTCAGTTTCCCCACGAGGCATTGTCCCTGTCATGATCCAAGTGTATTGCAAACAAATGATAAAGAAAGTGATGATGATGATAATGTAGATTAGGTACTTGATTGTCACCGATTCATAAGGCTACGTCTTCACGTGACCATTCAAAAACGCTTCGGCAGTTAGTCAGTTGCTTAAGTTAAAGCATACTTAGGCTATTCCTTCTCTTCCCCAAAAGTATACTCTTATTTTGTAGTATGGAACCCCAGGTAGTTGCAGCTGAATCCTTTGAAGCAAATGGACCTAGAACTACTTTACTCCTGAATGAAAGTATCCAAATGGCAGTTCAGTGTGCTTCAAGCTAGGCACGTTGAATTCAAATCTCTAGCTGACTTGCTTTAGCTCTCCTAAGTGCTGATAAATGTTGGGGAATTGTCCATCAGTACTACAGAACACTATCTGAATAGTCAAGAATCAGGTAAATCGAAAGCATCTAGGTGTAAAATATTTTCATCACAGTCTTATTACCTGTAAGTGGAAAATTTGACACATGGACTTTTAAACATAGAAGTCCTGTTGCCCTGACACTGCTGTGTTGTGTTGCCCATAAACTGCAGAGGGGAGCAGGGGAACAAACAACCCAAGGACTCGGATTACAAGTTAATGTGGTAATTTAGATACAGAATCATGTTCAGCCATATTAACATCATGTCATCCCAGAAACTTGGTGTGAAACTTTAATGTTAAACACTTTTTGTGTATGTTAAAGTTCCTGTAGATTGAGCAGTTACTTTAGTCTTCAAAAACTTCCCAAAATAAGATGATCTAGGAATACAATCTTAACAATCCTTTTAGATTGCAAAGTTTTGTGCTGTTTCATTATTTTCCACTTTTGTTCAAAAGTAATGCCTCATTCCTCGAGTATGAATTCCTTTCATTCTTCCTACATGGTTCTACAGAACAGGGGAAATGAAAGCTGAAAAAGCAAGGCTTAAGACTTAATTCCTTTATTGATTTCAATTTAAAAGCCTCAGTAGTTCAGGGAGTAGTGTGCCATAATTTTAATAAAAGCACTGTGATACTAATGATGGAAATGGATTGACAGGTGAACTGTTGTCTGCATGAGATGTATCTGTGGCCTATTTTAAAATTTTAGAATTTTATGGTGGACATTATAGCACAGATAACTTTCATCTAGAATTAGTAAGCTTAGCTCTCTGGTTTGCCAATCGCAGGTTTTGTGATGGATTTATGTTCAAACCCTAATGGGTCTTGGGAGACTTCTTAAAATTAAAAAAAAAAAAAAAAGAATGTCTTGTGATGTTACACTCTGAATTCTCATTATGTTGAGCAAGTAGTTTTGGTCCTGATGCATGTGCCAGAAATGTGAAATCTGAAAAAAGAGGAGTTTTCTTCCACTAAATTAATAAAGTGAACGAATGTTAAATATCTTTTTTATGAAAGCACTCTACATCCGTGAAATGGGGTGTTTGGAGAGAAATACGATGGCTTTATTTTTACAAATCAACATGAAGATGAATAAGAATAGGTAGATATTATTAAAACCCAGTAACGTAGAATGTATGAAATTAATTTAAAAAGTATAACTCCATATACTAAGTAATGCATCACATGTTTAATTGTTTTCATTTTCAAATATTACACGTGTAATAGAAGAAAACAGCATTTTAATGACAATCTTGAATACATGCACAAAAGATTCTAGAGCGCTAGGTTTTAGAAACTTCTAATTTCCATACTTTCTCTTCCTGAAAAGGCTGTCATGATTAGGACTATACAATAATAAATATGAATGAAGCCGAAGAATTTTTCATGCCATAGTAAGACTGACTTACCTTTTAGACAACAGCAGAGCTTTTCTAAAGGGCAGGTACAGTTGAGGTTCTGAAGTCAGAGCAGATGAGAGTTGAACCGCAGAGAGAATTAAGAGTGAATGTATGCATGAATGACTTAATTATGGAGAAGTAAAACTTGATTTCCTGGTCTTGAAATTATTATCAGGTATATTCAAGTATAAAACCGCAAAGTTTGAAAGACCAGCGCTTACAAGCTTGTAATGTAAGACTTTGGGTCTGGTATTTTTACTTATGATTTGGTTTGGTACTTCTACTTTTCTTCTTTCCAGAGAATTCAAGAAGAGTTCTCTGGAGAAAGCAGATATAGGGTGGATAACGTAAAATTCTGTGAGAACATAAATTCATTTCTGTTGTATTGGGGAGATTGCTACAAGGATGTTAAACAAAGACCTCATGATGTTATTGTCCTTTAAACGTGTTTGCCTTTTCAGGTAACGTTTTTCCTGAAAGGGCCTTTATGTGATATATATGTATGCTGTTTAACTTAGGCATGACGAACTTTGTTTGTTTGTTTAGGAAATGTATTTTTAAAGCATGGTTCAGATCTACGGATTATTCCCAGAGATCGAGTTGGGCGTTCTTAACGACTACTGAAAGCTTTAAAATAAGTGACGTTGCCGTGCAGCCAAGTTGTATTTATTTTGGAACTCAACTAATGAATTGGCCTTTTTGTAAGGTATCAAAAATGACTCCCCAGGTTTTGATCTTTCTTTAAATCGAGATAAAGTTTCACTTCCTTGTTAAAACGTAGTAAATCATACGCTCATTCTTCTTTGACAAGTAGAAGAATGGACTGGTTCCATGTTATGTTCTTGAATGAAAGATGGACTTCTCCGAAAGTGTTACTGAAACCAGAAGGGCAAGCACACAACCACGATCAAGACATTTAAAATATTCTGTGTTGTTGAGCCTACGCAACGGAAAGGAGAGATGTTTATGATTTTTATGTTCTTTACTGAGTGCTAAACACCTTCTTTTTTCCCCTAAACCATGATACGTACTACTACATTCAGAAGAACAGTTTGTTCCATGCAAATATTTAGCTCAAATAGAAGGCAAATTTCAGGGGTTTATTGCTGAAATAAGTTAATAACCACCAAATGTTCCAAAGTAATTGTAAAATACTGAAATTATGTTAGATAAAGGAAAACAGATATCTGTGTTAAATCTTCCTTTGACGTTTAGTGAAGTTAAATTAAATGAAGTTTCAGAGAACTTGAGAACTGATCTCCTCAAATGAAGTGCCATGAGCTGAAAAGGGTTGCACCATAATTTAGGAATGTATAGGTATTGATCAAATATATCATTCCTTTTTCAGTAAACTAATTTTGTTTCTTTGTAAAAGTCTTGTTTTGTTACTGTGTGTTACAAGGGAACCATGTTCACTAAAATGTTTATGTTCAGGTAATAGGCTGCTTGTTTATGAGTTGCCTGAGGTAAAATATCAAATGTGTATTTCAATTAGAGAAATTAATACTGCTGTTATTCTTGAACTGTTAATATTATTTTGTAATTTAATATATTTGGCAAAATCTTACTCTTGTTGCATTTTATCTGTCTTACTGGAATTATTACAAGTATAACTGTCCTGTGCAATAATCATGCTCCAAAAAGATGTTCAGCTAATAGTGCCAGATGTTACAGAAGTACTAAATGCCTTTCTGAGTTGGCACAAAGCAAGCACATAGAGGAAAGCTCTTCTGAAAGTGGTATTTGAGAATAAATATTTTCCAACTCTGAAACTTCATTGTAAAATTCTGAGTTTTCCTTTAATAAACAATGGTATGAATAAAAAGCAAGATGAACCCGTTTGTTCCTTTCTCATTTTCTTAATTATGTTTTGATAATAAATTAAAAACTGTCCTTTGACCTTTTAAGCAACATGTGATAGTCAACGTGAGATTCATTTCAAGCCAAAAGATTCTTCTTATGCAGAATTCTACAGAACACTGATTTTAAAGGCAGAGTTCATAGTTTCTATTAATCTAATGCCCAGTATAATTAGAATGAACAAAATTAATTGCTTCTAATTATTGTCTGCAAAATTGTTGGCTGAGTACCTGAAAAACCACCTAGTATTAGAATATAACCAAGAGGAAGTTTCCTTTTGTCTCTAAAGGTGCATTATAGTTTTAGAAAGGCTATCATCGTTAAATACAATGTGAAACTGAGGTAATTTGATGTTGATGTAGAAGAGGGCTAGGTAAAAATATTTTCAAATGATGACTAACACTTATTACACTGTAATTTAGCTCATAACACTGATACAAAGTATTTCATATTATGAACAATAAATAATCTTTGTAGTACTTTCTGTGTATTACATGCTTCTCTCAGTATGGGCTCTAAAATCTGAATGTATCTTTCCTGTTTGGTAAACAGCTTGGTATTAGTGATAAAATGTAGTTACTATAAGTTGTTTTGATATTGGTAAGCTTTTTTTGTTATGTCTAAGTTATGTCTTTTGTTATGTCATTTTTGTTATGTCTAAGTCATATTTGACACATAGTATAGGAAGAATATGAGTTTAAAGTCCCAGCTTTCCCGGGCTTAGGAATCTTCACAAATTGTGAAAAGAATGCTGTACTCCCAAACTTCGTTTTGCCTAATCAAATTTTAAGGCATTCTTTGGAAATCAGCTCTTTTTGGAAATGATATTGTCTTTGACTCTGATTGGAAGCTGACTGATGTTAAGCATGAGACTTCATCTTTGATCAGCTTTCTCACTCCTTTAGTGAAGATGTGAAGTCAATTTGAATGGTGTCCTGTTTCTCCCCTCCTCCCCATATTTTGCATTTCAAAATGATGGCTCTTCAACATAAAAGAGTTATTCTGTGAAGAGGAATTTTTGCAGAATCCTAGACCATTGATGTGAAAAATCTCACCAAAACTTTAGAAGAGTTGTAGTTACTCTTTTGATTTATAATATGTTCCAAGAGAACTAAATTATTATTTGACAGAATTTGAAGAAATTGCAGAAATTTATCTAGGAAGGAAGCACAGTGATCTGATGTAATATAAAAGAACTGGAATGGTTAGGAAAAGACCCTGACAACAGTTACCAGTAGTATCTTGTTTCTTTTTTTATTCCCAAGCCACAAAATCCAACTTTATTCAGTGTTGGCAATTAAAAGGCCATTTTCCTCTCTGGCTGCCAATTAGTAACTGAAAATTGTTGGCAACAGGTCTCAGAGTTCAGAATTTTTTTCTTTGTGTTTAGATTGAAAACCCACCTTCTGTTGCTGGTCCTGTGATGCAAAGTGCAGTCAGAGCGAGAGAAGGAACTGTGGCAGTATGACTGCAGAATGTTAGTGGATTCTGAAGGTGCGGGGGGCACAGCAGCCCTTTGTAGAGCAGCATGCAGGTAGCTGTCAAATAGAGCAGTTTAAGGGGGAGCAGAAAAACTAAGTACTGAAATCATCTTAGTAGTGCTGTGGAGACTGCATTTCAGCAATGCTGGTGAGCGCCAGGTTCCAGCTGAGTAAAATTGAGTTCCTGTGCAATGCACGGTGCTCAGATTTACATACAGTACACGTAACTAACTCTACACCCCAGTAGTGAATTTCAGCCACTGTTCCTACTGATGAAAGGTAGCTACAGGGGAGTATTCACAAAGGCTAACATTATCCTTGTGAGAGGCTAACCTCTGCAGGCTGTTTCTGAAATTAATGGAAAGTGAGGTTCCTCCAGAGGGAGATTCAGGTTAGCTAAATGAATCTTCAGTTCTCAGTTGTCCCCTGGAGAAGCCTTTCTCTCTTAATTATTGACTCTAGAGAAATCGTTGAGACATTAGCATGCAGGGGCTAATGTTAACCTTTGAAAACATCCCCAACAAGTACTTCTCCCTCCTCTCAATATCACACGTTTTAGCATTGCTGTACCTACTTGTTGTTTGATCAGGATGCTTAGCAGATGATACAAAGTTTCTAGTATCCTGTTCAAAGGTAAAATTACATGGAAAATTTGTTTGCATGAAAACAAACCTGCTTTTTCTCTGTGATTTAATTAGTTGAATTCATCTTCTTTTTCCATTTTAACAGCAAGTTCAACAGTCTTGGTGAGACAGTGCGGAAAGGCTTGTTGTTCTTTACAGAAATCTTTGTTGGGTTGAAATTAGTTCTATCTGCAAAGAAAGAGTACATAAGTAATGAAGAAGGAAACAAAAGATTTTATTACTACTTTTTTCTCAAAGGCTAAGATAAAGGTCTCCTTTATCTCCCTGAAGAAGTTAAACATTCCTGGAAAACAGATTTTAGAGAGTTTGAAATGCATACACATAGCAGCTAATACCATAGACGCTAATACCAAGACCAGGTGCAGTGCATGTTCCTGTTTATTACTGTGAAGAAAATTCTGAGGCTGTGGGTGGGAACTCTCAGTGCCTTTCATTGATGAGAAACATCAGCTATTGCCTATAAATACTATCTGAAC